GTGGGTTTTCTCTATTTTTTTCGTCTGTCAATTACCTACTCTGTGCTGGAGGGGAAGCGGGGCTGTCCCCTGAGATTCTGCATAACCTCTCAGAAGTGATTTATGCAGATAGCAGAGGGAGGAGGGAGCAGACATAAATCACACTAGGTACATTGGATTGAGGTTAGTACACACTATAGAGCAGTGGGGCTATCTCTAATATGGGGCAAAAGGGGTAGCTGCCCTGGGCCTGGTCATTGATGTGGAACCCAAAACAGTTGTCTCTTGAGCCCATGCTGCCCACAAATTTCTTTCCAGGTGTAGCGGGTGCAGCCGATCCCCTCACTTGCTTTCCCAGCCAGTTAATTCAAGCAACCGCACTGTGACTGGGGGGAGGCACAGCTGTGTGGACTGCATGTGCTAGAACCCACAAGCCATTCTTCTCTCTCTGTCAGGACTGGTTGTGACAGGGAATAAGGCAGAATGGCTCTCTGTGTTCCCTTATTTGCCCCCCCCCCACCCCTTCTCTGGTCAGCATGCGGAGAGCAAACACACAGAACGGGCTGTGTGTGGATTCTTCTTCCTCACCCTTCTCCTGTCAGCAGCAGGGGGAGATTAATAAAGCAGTGGAAGGACCGGAGCATCTTGCAGAGGAGGACACTGTGAGTTGAAGGCAATCAGTGAGCAGTAATAATTTTCAGTAACCTTTAGCAACCAATGGGTGAGCATTAATGATGTGCAGTAACCTCTAACAACCAATAAATGAGCTGTAATAATGTGCAGTAACCTCTAGCAACTAATGGGCAAGTGTTAATGATGTGCAGTAACCTTTAGCAACCAATGGGTGAGCAGTAATGTTGTGCAATACCCTCTAGCAACCAGTGAGCAGTAATGATGTGCAGTAACCTCTAGCAACCAATCAGTGAGTGATAATGATGTGCAGTAACCTCTAGCAAGCAATTAGTAAGTGGTAATGATGTTCAGTAACCTCTAGCAAGCAGTAATCATGTGCAGTAACCTCTAGAAACCAATGGGTGAGGGTAATGATGTGCAGTAACCTCTAGCAACCAGTCAGTGAGCAGTAATAATGTGCAGTAACCTCTAGCAACCAAATAGTGAGTGGCAATGATGTGCAATAACCTGTAGCAACCAATCAGTGAGCAGCAATGATCTGCAGTTACCTCTAGCAACCAATCAGCGAGTGAATACTGTGTATACCTGTTGTTTCATATGTGGTGAGACCACTTTATATCTACAAATTATTGTGCTGCTACAAGAGAAACAATGTGGAGTACAGACTGCACATAGTCAAACAGTTACCTTCACCTGGGGAAGTCAGAAGGCTGGACCTGTTTGGCACCTGTCAGGTGGCCCACTTGGAAGGTCTTGGAGACACCACTAAGGTTTGGAGAGCATAGCATCACATCTAACAACAACGGTTGATGATACTACATTGACTCACACTTGGTGGGGTTTCGGCTGTCCCCTCCCTTTGCTCCTTCCTCCTTCAGTGGGGTAATATCTAGAGTATTCACATTGGGACCTAGTGCTCTATTATACACTAGAGTCGGGCAAGATATCCACATTGCATTGTATCTTCTACAATTGGCACTGCTACAGAGGGACTTTGGGGGGACCTTGTTCCATCGTCACAGAACATAGGACTTAGGGATTTATGGGGAGGGGTGGCTGATGCACACTCCGGGTGCTCTGTAGGGAAGTGGGGGCCTGTTGGGGTGGTTCCTCTGGCTGTGGGGGGGACTGGCGGGGAGTGGAGGGGTGCATCGGGTCAGGGTACATGCATTGAATATATATGGTATGATATGTATATTTTACATTTATTACGTCTATAATAAATACTGATGTGGTAGCCTTTGAGGTGCTATATCCTTCTTTGTGGGTTTTTCTGTAGTGTATTGTTTTTGTATGCATCTCTCCTACTAAAGGTTAGGCACTGGCAGATATACCATTCCCAGGACCAGGCCTATGGCCGTTGGGGTTTTTACAGACAGATCATATCCCCAGCACCATTCAGAAGAGCCCTATTGAGTAAAACTCCTTTCACAAAGTGGGTCTGATCAGGCCCTCCTGTCAGTTTTTCAGGTGGACCTCCTTGGATGGTCCATTCACCCATATAGAAAGGCGAGTCTAAACAGACTTGTGCCAGTTTACACCCTCCAACCTCCGTTCTGATCCCGTACCCTAAAAAACGAACAAAAAAAAAAACAGAAAGGGTTCTGTCCTCTTCCGTTTAGGCAGATCAGATTGGATGTTATTCTTGCTTTTTTTATTCACTTACTATCTATTTATTATACCAGATTTAGCTCAGCACATTTTGTCCAGGAATGAAAATAAAAATACAGAGACACCTATCTCTTTTTTTATTTACTAAAATATATGGGCATAGCAAAACAATTTGTTATCTTCCTGACATTTCTCTGTAGTTTTCTTTACACCTTTGAGCCCATTGTGCAGTGTTTTTTTTTTACGCAGTAAGTTCAACTAAGCTTGTTATAACTTCAATTGAGTAAACTTCGTACCTGCCGCTAGCAGCACAGCATGCCTTATTGTAAAAAAGAGAATTACAGTACATACGTTTCAGATATCCATTTATTTCCTACCATAAATATGTAGGTACAAAACAATCTGATTGTTTTCCTGACGTTTTTCTGTAAATGTTTCCCAATAGCAGCAGGCCTGTTGTATTGTGCAGTGCATTCATTGTTTAGAACAGAATTGGAAATTGTTCTTTCACCACATATTTATAACATGTATGAAGGAGAAGTTGCAAGTATAGTATGAGTCTATGTTCAAAGGGTAACTGCACTTTCCTGGAAAATATAAAGCAAATTAAAAAAAAAAAGAAGCATACATACTGATCAGCCATAACTTTATAACCTCTGGCAAGTAACATAGTTACGTAATTGGTAAGGCTGAATAAAGACACCAGTCCATCCCAGGGGCGGACTGACCATTTGGAAACTCTGGCACTGCCCGAGGGCCCGGGGTCAGTAGGGGGCCCCATGAGATGCCCCTGGTACCTTTTTCATAGGCTTTTTTGAGTTTGGGCAAGGACACAGGGGACCTATGTTCCCCCATTGCCCGGGGGCCCCATGAGTTGTCAGTCCACCCCCGGTCCATCCAGTTCAACCTGTGTGGGTGTGTGTGTTTATATCACTTCCATTTCCCATATCCCTGTAGATTGCTTTTGCTAAGATGTCCATCTATGAGTTTCTTTTTTAAACTATTGACATTTCCTGCTGACATCACTGATTGTGGAAGGGAGTTCCACATCCTTATCCAGTTATCCAGGTTATCCAGTTATTTATATCTGGATATTGATTTTAGGTGTGGGAACAGACTGAGTGTTTTGCAGCAACTCATATAGGAAATTAAAATAAAAAAGTGATGTAGCACTGCTAAATAATAGCTACAAAAAATAAAAGAGGGACATAACTGACTAAAAAGTCCATAGCCAAGCCCCTTATGCATTACATCACGCCCACGTGACTTCATTCCGCTGATGAAGTCACGTGGACATGATGTAACGCGTAAGGGGCTTGGCTCTGGGCAGATATGAATAGTGAGTTCAGCTGACAACAAGTGAAGCCTGAATCTGATGATTTTTTTGGCATTTTATTCACTTACTACATGATAGGAATGTGTGACCTCCATCACCTTTAAAGAGACCGATCCCTCGCTCTGGTTTGACAATCTATTGAAAGCTCAAAGGTGTTTGATTACTATCACATGGCTGTGGACTGAAAAAGTGAAGAATCCTTTTTTCTATTTGATATCATAAAGCGCATTTCCATGTGCTCTGAAATGAGAGTTCTGTGAGCTCTGAGGTGGCACTCAGGGGCGGACTGACAACTGATGGGGCCCCCTGGCAATAGGGGATCATGGGGCCCCTGTGTCCTGGCCCAAACTCAAAAAAGCCTATGAAAAAGGTACTAGGGGCATCTCATGTGGCCCCCTACTAACCCTGGGCCCTCGGGCAGTGCCCGAATTTTCAAATGGTCAGTCCGCCCCTGGTGGCACTATATGTTATGTGCACTATTTTACTTGATGGTGTTTGGGATATCAGCACAAGAAGAAAGCACATGCATTATGGAAGAATCTTTATTGCAAATTGATTGCTTTTACATATATGGACTCATTATGGACGTTTTATTCAGTTATGTCACTCTTTTATTTTTTGTAGCTATTATTTAGCAGTGCTACATCACTTATTTATGTTTAATTTGCTTTGCTATTGTGGGAACACAATTTGATGTTTCTCAGCAGCCATTATCATCACACTATTTTTATTTTCCTTTCTGCTTGTGTGCATTTTTTTTCCCTTCTTTTTCTCTTCCTCTCTCTCATGAGGTAGCGCAGGGGTTTCACTCCTATATTCAGCTCATATAGGAATCCATAGTGGCTTATAGCAATTTTTTTGGTGGCGCACAGAGTTTTCTTTCTTTTTTTGTAGTTCCACATCCTTACCTCTCTAACGGTAAATAACTCCCTAAGCAGTTATTGAAGACCAAGCATTTTCTGGCACTTTTTGTTTACAAGTTTGTCAGTTTTTTTGCTAGAAAATTACTTATAACCCTCAAACATTATATATATATATATACAGTAATACAATATATATATACAATATATTGCCAAACGTATTGGAACACCTGCCTTTACACACACATGAACTTTAATGGCATCCCAGTCTTAGTCCGTAGGGTTCAATATTGAGTTGGCAGCTATAAACGCTTCAACTCTTCTGGGAAGGCTGTCCACAAGGTTTAGGAGGGTGTCTATGGGAATGTTTGACCATTCTTCCAGAAGTGCATTTGTGAGGTCAGGCACTGATATCGGATGAGAAGGCCTGGCTCGCAGTCTCCACTCTAATTCATTCCAAAGGAGTTCTATTGGGTTAAGATCAGGCCAGTCAAGTTCCCCAAATATGCTCATCTATGTCTTTATGGACCTTGCTTTGTGCACTGGTGCGCAGTCATGTTGGAATGTTGGAACAAGAAGAGGCCATCCCCAAACTGTTCCCACAAAGTTGGGAGCATGAAATTGTCCAAAATGTTTTGGTATGCTGATGCCTTAAGAGTTTTCTGGAACTAAGAGGCCAAGCCCAACCCCTGACCCTGAAAAACCACCTCAAACCATAATCCCCCCTTCACCAAACTTTGCACTTGGCACAATGCAGTTAGGCAAGTATCGTTCTCCTAGCAACCGCCAAACCCAGACACATCCATAAGCTTTCCAAACAGAGAAGCATGATTGGTCACTCCATGGAACACGTCTCCACTGCTTTAGAGTCCAGTGGTGGCATGCTTTACTCCACGGCATCCAACGCTTTGCATTGCACTTGGTGATGTAAGTCTTTGAAGCAGCTGCTCGGCCATGGAAACCCATTTCATTAAAATCTCTATGCACTGTTGTTGTGTTAATCTGAAGGCCACACCAAGTTTGGAAGTCTTTAGCTATTGACTCTGCAGACAGTTGGCGACTTCTGCGCACTGATCTTCAGCATGCGCTGACCCCACTCTGTCATGTTACGTGGCCTACCACTTTGTGGCTTAGTTGCTGTTGTTCCAATTTGCTTCCACTTTGTTATAATACCACTAACAGTTGACTGTGGAATATTTAGTAGCAAGGAAATTTCACAGATGGGCTTATTGCACAGGTGGTAACCTATCACGATACCACACTTAAATTGAATGAGCTCCTGAGAGCGACCCATTCTTTGTAGAAGCAGTCTGCATGCCTAGGTGCTTGATTTGTTACACCTGTGGCCATTGAGGTGAATGGAACACCTGAATTCCAATATATATATATATATATATATATATATATATTTTTTTTTTTTTTTTTTAATTTGTTTTTTTTTGTTTTTTCCTTAGCAAGGACCCTAGAGAATTAAATGGTGATTGTTGCAATTTTATATGTCACATGGTATTTGTGCAGCGATTTTTTTCAAATGCAATTTTAAAAAAATATTCTTTAATAAATTAAAATAAATCATTATATACCCCAATTTTTTTGTAAAATATGAAAGATGATGTTACGGCAAGTAAATCAATACCTAACATATCACACTTTAAAATTGTGCACGCTCATTGAATGGCGACAAATTACGGTGCTTAAACATCTCCATAGGCAACGCTTTAAATATTTTTACAGGTTACCTGTTTAGAGTTACAGAGGAGGTCTAAAAATAGAATTATTGCTCTCGCTCTAACGTTCATGACGATACCTCACATATGTGCTGGGAACACCTTTTACATGTGTGTGCGTGATGTACGTATGCGTTCACTTCTGTGCGCAAGCAGAGGGATGGAGTGCTTTGATTTTTTTTTTTTACACTGTCCCTTTATTTATTTATTTAGTTTTAAATCACTTTTATTCCTATTACTGTAAACATCCCTTGTAATATAAATAAGCATGACAGGTCCTCTTTAAGGAAAGATCTAAGGTAAAAAAGACCCTAGATCTCTCCTTTACCTTTAAAAGCAAAAGCAAAAAAAAATGTGATCTTTTGCTTAAAAAAAAATGGTTTACATTACACTCCAGTCCTTCAAGGGCATAGAGGCAATCATTGAAGATCGAGACAGCAAGCCCGAAAAACAACAGCGGGACTGGGGGGCATCTCCTCCTGCCACTACTGAAAGCAAACCAGCGGCTAATAAGCCGCTCAGACTACTTTCATAAAAAAGCTGGCCGAAAGCTAAAACAAAGATACTGGGGTTATAGCTGATACAGTATCTTCAGCCATAACCCCAGTAAACAACTTACATGTATACGTATTGTGGTCGGCAAGTGGTTGTACCACTTTCCCTTCAATTTCATTGAGTGGCCACACATCTTCTTAAGCTTCCTGAAACTGAATTGTTTTTTCCCTATGATAGGATCTCCATTGAGGTATTTGTATATCACTATCATATCGTCTCTCAAGCATCTCTTCTCCAAGGAAAAAAGTTTCATGTTTGTAGTTGTTCCTCATAACTGAAGTCCTCCAGTCCCCTTATTAGCCTTGTTACCCTTCTCTGGACTCTATCCAGGTCCAGAACATCCTTCCTGAGGACTGCTGACCAGAACTGAATACTCAAGATGGTTAAATGGATAACATTGATTGTTACAATGTCATCTGAAAGTCGGTGGGATATTTTAGGCAGCAGGCAAAATGTTATCCCTGAATTGATGTGTTGAATACTTAAAAAGATGGGCATCACAGTGTTATGTATGGGGCTGTGCAACTGCAGACCTGTCAGGGTGCCCATGCTAACCTGTGTCCACAGAAAGCTCCTACAATGGGCATGTGAAGGTTAGAATTAGATCACAGAACAATGGAAGAAGGTGGCCTGGTCTGATGAGTCACATTTTCTTTTACATCATGTGGATGATCGAGTTCGTGTGGGTTTCATACTTGTGGAATAGATGGCACCAAGATGCATTTCTTGAGGCCCAAAAATGTCAGGATAGTAGAAATACCCCCCAAATCACCCCTTTTTGGGAAGTAGATAATGCAATGTATTTAGTAAAAGGCATATTGAGTTTTTTGAAGTTGTAATTTTTTCCAATCATTATTTGGAAAATGAAATTAAATCATTCTTTTTTTCACAAAAATGTCGTATTAACAATTCATTTCTCACACACAGCATAGGCATACCTGCAACTACACCCCAAAACACATTCTGCTACTCCTCTTGAGTATGGCGATACCACATGAAACTTTTTAACAACTTAGCCACGTAGAGAGGCCCAGCATCCAAGGAGCACCTTCGGGCATTATCAACTTTAAGACCAGGCCCTCCTCTGACACTTTTTGTTTAAAAAAACAGTATTTTTGCTAGAAAATTAGTTAGAACCTCAAATATTAGAAGAAGCTGGGTTTTGCCATTATTTATGTCATCTGGTATTTTGTGCAACGGTTTTTCAAATGCAATTTTTTTGGAAAAACACTTTAGTGAATTTTACTGCATACAAACACAATGTAATACCCTTTTTTTGGCAAAATATAAAATATAGTGTTGCATGGAAAAAAAGGTATCAAAAGTGTCATGCTTTTAAATTACGCATGCTTGTCGAATGGCGCCAAACTACAGTATTTAAAAATCTCCATAGGAGATTACCACGTAGCCAGTTTAGAGTTACAGAAGAGGTCTTCTGCTATAATTATTGCTCTTGTTTTGACATTTGTGGCAATAGCTCATATGAGTAATTGCCATTTATGGGCTGATTGCTGCATTTTTGATGCAGCTTAATAGCTGTCGAGAGTGCAAAGGTGGTGGTTTGGAGCAACACATGCTGATATATTTGGACTCTTGGATGAATACTACATACGGACAAATGTTGGAGTTATTATTTACCAATAGGAAGAGTCACATGTTTTTGGGACTTTTTATGCACTTTTTAAAGTCTAAGGTTTTTGTTGGTTATTTTTGTCATATGTATATTATTGATACTTTGGTATTTAACCACTTCAAAAGTGCCCGTTGCATTCTGGCACGTTTGGCGGCTTCAAAAGTGTTGTTGCATTTGGGTGCACGCCATTTGGCGTGCGGCGCACAGCGCGATCTGTCACCGCCGTGTAATCAGTGCACGGCCGATGACAGATCCGAGTACCGGCTCCCGTTGCTGGTACCATGTGACCTGCTGTGACCAATCACAGCAGGTCACATGACAGTTGTATACAATGGATGGCTTCATTCATGCCATCCATTGTATACTAGTGCCTAGCTGTGAATGGTCACAGCTAATCACATGCACATGTCATGTGATTAGCTGTGACCAAATCACAGCTAAGCACAAAAAAAAAGTTGAATGAATCGATTTCATTCAGGTAAATGCTTGCTTATAGCAAAGTAATTCTTTGCTATAAGCAAATTGTGTAAAAAAAAAAAAAATAAATAAATACTGATCACTTCCCCAAAGTAGTATAATGTTACTATGGCAACATTGTACTACTTTGGTCATAGTAAAATATGAAAAAAAAAATCTTTAAAAAAAAATGTAATAAAAAATTAAAAATAATAAAAAAAAAAAAAAAAAAAAAAAATATATATTTTTTTTTTTTTTTTTCATACTGTCACCAGTCAGTGTCCCTGTTCACCGCCATGCCAGTTATATGATGACGCTGTACTGCACTGGTGACAGTATGTAAAAAAAAAAATTGTGAAAATAATTTTTTTTATTTTTTTTTCATTTTCCGAAAAATTATGACAAAAAAAATACAACTTCAAAAAACTCGCCATTCCTCTTATTAAGTACGTCGGACTGTCTACTCTGCAAAAAGGGGTCATTTGGGGGATATCTGTACTGTTCTGACATTCTTGGACCTCAAGAAATTAGATTGGCTGTCAGTACTTCAGGATTGATCAATATTCAGATCTATACCATAGTTTATGAACTCTATAACTTTCCTACAAACTAAATAATACATCCTAATTTGGGTTATTTTTACCAAAGACATGTAGCAGAATACATTTCGGCCTAAATTTATGAAGAACAATTATTGATTTGTAAACTTTTATAACAGAAACAAAGAAAAATTTGTTTTTTTTGTCAACATTTTTGGTCTTTTTTTGTTAATTTAGCAAAAAATAAAAACCCCAGCGGTGATTAAATACCACCAAAAGAAAGCTCTAGTTGTGTGAAGAAAATGATAAAATTTTAGTTTGGGTACCGTGTTGTATGACCGCGCAATTGTCATTCAAAGTGTGAGAGCGCTGAAACCTGAAAAATGGCCTGGGCAGGAAGGTGTAAAATTGCCCGGTATTGAAATGGTTAATAATAAGATTGTTATATTCATTCTTAATCAATTAGGAGCTACACTTTTATTTCCATATTTTACATTCGGGTTTGTATACTTACCTTGCTTGCTAGCTGCCTTACACTTGTCTGATTTCAGAAGCTTACAAGGGTCAGGCCTGGTTAGTACTTGGATGGGAGACTGCCTTACCTTGCTTGCTAGCTGCATAAATATTCTCTTTTTCCTTAGCACTGACTATTCCTTGTGAGCCTCAAATCTCCATATTGTACTTGAACTGGAGTTGTATTTGACTTCTGCTCTAATTCTTCATTGACCTCTGTATGAAACCGTTTTCTTGTCACATTTATTAATAAAATACACATTTTATTTAAAAAAATAAAAAATAAATAAAATAGGACAGGGGGGAGTGCATTCAGCATGTACCCCCCCCCCCCAAACCATACCAAGCCACCTGTCCTCAACATTGGAAGGAAACTATGCAGAAGAGGGGTGAGGGGAGCAATCCTTCCATCCTTGAAACATGTCTCCATGCTGATCGGATCTGTAATCAGGTCTAGTATAGTCCATAAACTGTGAACTATGAAAACTATGCTGTAACATTTTAATTACTGAAGGACAGAGAAACTGCTTCACATTTAAACTTCCTATCAAGCTCAGGGGAAATTAACATTTGTTTGGTAGTTCTTTTAATTTTCCCTGAGTTGATTGTTTTTTTTTTTTTAAACGGAATTCTAGCAAGAGCGTGTGAAATTTACTCCTCTAGCAAATCAGATTTAAGTATATTTAAAGCGAACACTTTATTGTAAATTTGGATAAAGTGGTGAGGAGTTAGAGTCTCTGTCAAGTTTTTACTGCTGAGTGTGTCACCACTGAGGAGATTCACCCTCTTTATTTGTCCTGTGACCATTGTTTCATTGTTACAGAAAGTGATAGTGATTGCCGAATTGTTGAGTTGTAATGGGAACAAAGGT